GCACCTCGTATCGTTTACACAAAAAGCACTTTTTTAACGTGGACTTGAGGAATTGTCGTCCCTTTATGATCCAAAACTTAAGTCTAATTTCAGCTAAGGTAGCTTCGACTCAAGCATGATGCAATTTAGTATGCGACTCTAAGATTACTAGTTCACTGTATCTGTCTACATAAGGTAACAGCCATGAGTGTTTTTCAGAGAAAGCAAGATCTGAGAATTGAAGTCTTCCCTTTAAACGCAGAAGATCACGGGTATCCAATTCTGGGTTAAATGAACAAATCAAAGATGGCTTTTCTAAGCGTTTTCTACTTGAAGGATCTAGAATCTCTTTCGCAAAGTGTTTTCGCTGTGTAACTTTCACCCAATAGAGTTCTCAGCTCTTGAAATCTCAACAGTGGTCAAAGGTCAACAAATTGACCTTTGAATTTCACTGAATTTCGTTTTATATTGTCTATAAACCGCATAACACAAGCCGTAATTCGTATACCTTTAGTAACCTTCTAAATCGGGATAAATCTAGTAAAGTTTCTACCACTTGAACAGAAACCTGAAGAGATGTTTGCACCCATTCTTCGTTCTGAATTCTCCCCTTATCGATGTTTATCTGTTGATTTATTGGCCAAACATTTTCAGGTTGAGAGAGCCAGCTAGGTCCCTGTTACCAACGGTAACTTCTCACAAGGTTAAAGGCACTTTCTCCGCGAAATAAAAAGTTAGGGTTTACTTTCCCACTGAAACTTTCAGTTTATTCTAATCTCTTTATCCAGTAGATAGCTATTTGGATATCCTCTCCAAAGAAACTTTTGATGACACAGTTCAGAAAACAGCTTTGTCAGATACATAGACAATTTGGCGGCTACTAAAACAGCCATCAACTCCAAACGTGGAAGAGTCATAGTGTTAATGGAGCTACGCGACCTTTCCCAATGAAACTGGTGCAAATGTTATTTTTTGAAATCAAGGTATCTAAAGTCTGCTACTGCGCCGTGCACTTAAAGGGCTTGCGTCAGCGAATACATGGAGACTAACATTAGATTTTTCACAACTACCAAAATATTTTCTCGGAAGAGAGAAATCCTCGAGCACTTTTAATTCAGCTTGCCAGTGACTCCAGTCCTTAGTTATTCCTAATGGAAGGGTATCATCCCAGTCCTTATCTAATGTCCAAGTTTTTTGTAATAGGATTTTCGTTAACATCAAGAAGGGTTGAAACATACCAATCGGATAATAAGCTTCGGCCACTGTTTGAAGAATAGTCCGTTTGGTGGCTTTAGCACTGACATGAGATAAATTTCCTAAATACTCGCAATTCAGCTTGATCTTGTCTGCTTCAGGGTTCTAGATCATGCCTAAAAAGTTTGACTCTTTAGCTAATTCTACATTATAACCCCTTTCAATCTACCGGATGATCTTAATTTTCTCATTTTCATCTTAGCGTCTTTAAAACTCTTAACCGCATCTGAGAATAATCGACATGCATCTTCAATAGTGTCGGCACCGTAATATAAATCGTCTACATACAGCGAGGAATCTAACATTTCATAACTTATTTAACATCCTAATTTGTGCTTTTATATTTTTTAATGTGGAATTTTATCGTCAACAAGGAACGAAGAAAAAAGAAAAAAAGTGGCGTAAACATATATAGTGCCTTTCAACGTGAATTGTGAAGCAGTGAGGTCAGATTTGCAGCTTGAATTAACTGAGTTCTAATCTAACAATCAATCATCTCAAGCAGTTGTTTCTAAATATGCCAATGTTAGAGTTTTACAAATCATTATCGAAGGTAAATTTCCCAAATTTAATACCTCACGCCCAGAAAATCAGTACTATGTTTGCTTTATCTTATATATATGAACGAGTGATTTCCACTATGAACCTTAGAAAGAACTATTTCTGAAGTAGACTGACAGATGAGCATTTAGCCTCGTTCCTTAGAATCAGTACATCTCACTTCGAACCTCAATATAAGGAACTTTTAAAACTTAAATCGCAATTTCATTCATCTCAATAACATATTTAAATTGTAATACTTGTATATTGTTTTAAAATTTTAGAAAAATTTATCTTGGCTCGCCAAACTTTTTTTTTTTTTTTTTTTTTTTTTTTTTTTTTTTTTTTTTTTTTTTTTTTTTTCGATTTTTGGCCCGCGACCGAAAATGTTTGCCCATCCCTGGCTTAGGGCCTCGGAAAAAATAGATTTCAGGGTCTTCCTTGGCGAAAACTGGCGATTTTTTGGCGCCATTCATGTTTACGTGCCACGCCCTCCCAAGTAAAATGACGTCCAAAGCATGATGCAATAAAACATAAAAAATTATAATCTTGATAAACCGTATTTTAAATTAAAATACAACAAAGAAATAACGTAAACAAGTAAACACGCTTTATCTAATCTGCGCAGTATAAAAAGTAAATATTGACTTACTTTATTTAGAAATTTCTGTGTCTTCGGTGTGTGTCACACAGAATTCCTTAATAGCGTCCAAAAACTGCTTAAAATTATCTTAACTAGAATCTGTATACCGCCATCGCCACATAAATTCTCAAAAGTAAGAATCAAAAATATTCTCCATAGTGCCAGAATGTCAGGGCCATTTCTTTCGAAAATCGCTTTTTATTACACCCCACAAACCTTCGATAGAGTTGATATGAGCTCCGGTTTCCGGATCCTTAATTGTCATTGCGTAATTTACTGAGAGGTGACCGAAGCCATTTAAACCTTCATTTACACACCAGTCAATCAATGCTTTCTTTCCCGTTTGTTCCAAATTGTACAAAAACTTCAGGTTAATTTTACCACCGGTAGCCATTTTACGGTGTAAAGCTCAAAATAAGCAGCGTACTTCCTTGCCGACATCCAACGCAGAAATAAGCCATGAGAATTTTTTTTGCAACAATTAAAATCAGCGCTATCACGCATTACAACCAATCACGCCATGATGGGATTTTCAAAACATACATCGTAAAATAGGTTACCATAAATGAAACAACAACTTGGCGATAATCCAAGGGGTACCCCAAAATGTAGACTAACCAGGGCCTCTAAAAGTCTTAATCTGGCTCTGGGACACGCATTTTTGCTACAGTAACCACAATAAAGGGTGATGCATATAAATGGAACAGTCCGATTTAAATCAAATGTTGAACGAATTATTATTAGTGTATAATATTTATAGTATGACTACACAATTAAACACTCTACTATAAGCTGGCTCAATAACTTTACCTTCGCGGCAGAATTAATATATCGACAGTGAGAGAAAGCAGAGCCGAACAATTTCAACTATCAGAGTTACCCAGATAACTCGCAGACGACATCAGAAAAACTCTCCGACTCAAATCCAAAAACTTTAGCTGAAATACTCATAACTTATTACATTCTGGTGAGGGATACGAAAAGGAGAAGTTATAATAAAGATTGGAATTATAACAACTAGTTAATTAACATACGATACCCTACAAGGTGCACAAACGTTTAACATTCGGCTTGTATATGTTTGTTTAAAATTTTACATTTTGATTGCATTACTATCATAGTTTGTAGTTTTCTTCTGCCTATTCATAGCGTTTTAATGAATTTCTTCATAATGCATCTACCTACGTATCTCATATTAAACAATAAAAGAAATTTTGTATTATAGGACTGTTATGACATCTAGTTATGCACGTACCTTTTTTATTGCAATTGGCAGTACCAAAAGTATATTTAAATACACACACGCTGTTCTTACTCCAAAGTCCTTACCCTACCTTTCTTTTCGCAGTCATTTGCAGTAGTTATATACTTCCAGTTACAGAAGTGTTTTAAATGACTAAAATACTCATGTATTAGCAATTTAAAATTTAACAAAAAGTTAGTTTAATGAAGTCTAGCGCATTTATGTAAGAAAACACGGAAAATACCTCTCTTGTGGATCAACAATTGATTTGATATGATAAAAATATTATAGGTTAAAGTTTTAAAAACCGATGTAAAGTCTCCGAATAGATACTATAAACAGATTAAAAGCTAGATTAAATATTCAAAATAGATTAAAAATTTGCCAAATGACAAAGAAATGTCAGACGCAGGTCTTTCTTCAGGAGTAAGAACATTTTTTTTTAAATCCCTTACGGAAAAGAAAATTCCCTGAAAGCATCTATGCCAAATTAAAGTGATCAAAGTATTACAGAATAATTATTTTCACTGTAATTAGTTAAACTCCGTTTCTATATTGAAGGGCATTTTTTTCTCATCGTTTAATGCCATCATTCGGTTTAGGTTTTCATTCCGAGTTTCAAAATGTAACTATAGTTTTCATGATTGATTCATACGTGGTACCGGCAATGCATGAAACACCGACATTTTATAAAATACCTAGGCATTTTATAGAATGTCTGGCATTTTTAAGTAAGCATGAAATATGACAATTATTATATACTTTCCCTCGGCATTGTGTATAATATCTGTAGAATCGAAAGAGAAGACAACACGGTAAGCTAAAATATAAAATTGGGCAAAGCAACAACATTCTGTTTGACGTATATATGGAATAACAAGGCTGTTGTTTAAAAGATGTGCCCTCCTCAAAAATACAAGTATTATTTTGAAAAAATGATCAAAGAGCGCCATTAAAAAACTTTATTTCAAAGTACGTAAGGAAAAATTAAAGTTGTACAAAAGAAAGTTTATATTTTTCTTCCTAACGAAAACGATGTATGGAATTATGGAAAAAATGTATTAAATGTATGAGTTCAGTATGAATGTATTATGTATATGAATATTCGAAACAAATCTGAGATGAATTACATATTTTGCTGGTTTGGCATTGTACAGAATGTCTATGAAATGTGTGAAATGTAAATCTTTTCATGAACTGCCGGCCAGTTATCGGCATTATGTAAAATGCCTGGTTATTCCGTAGAATGTCGATTTCATACATTGCCGATAACATAACTCTTGCACGTAGCAAGACAAGTGTGTCCAAATTCAGAATTTGTTTTCTTTTTCTCTTTTCTAGGATCAGTCTCGTCAAGGCCATAATCTGGTTGCTCTCACAGAATTCGCAATCGCTTTGATGGCCCTTCTCGATCAGATTAATCGGGAGTCTTTCCAGAGGTTTCGACTCCGAGTCGGTAAGGAGAATTTTCAACTTTGTTAATAAAAGTGTTGGTCATTTTGCAAGTACAGAAAAGAGCATTCTCTTAACTGAAAAGTATTTTGCAGAGCAGCAGTTCTCAATCTGTGATACGCAAGCTCCTGGGGAGGGTACACTGACTACCAATAAGTATTGGACACCTATGCAAATGACGATATCTGCGGTCCTAAGGTACGTGACGGACTCCGCCGGCATATATTGTGTAGGAAACAGCATCGGCTTTAGTCGCATGCAAGATACCTCGCAGTTCGGAGCTCTCTAATTTCGAGAAAAGTATAATTATCAGGTATCACAAATGTGGCCGATCCTTAAGGGACATATCTAGCGATCTGAAGTACCCAAAATCGACAGTGGCCTATGTGATTAAGAGGTGGAAGGTGAGATGTGGTTGTCGGAATGTGCCCCGAGTCGGCAGACCAACGAAACTGGGAGATAGAGACCGACGAGTGCTGTCCAGAGAAATTCAGGAAGAACCGCACCCAACCGATGGCCCTCATCCGCGAGGAGTTTCAACAGGCATCCGGGAGTATTGTTTCAATGAATACCATCCGTAAGGAAGCACATCTGCTTGGTTTTCATGGTCGTGCTGCTGCCCATAAGCCTTTGATCACAAAGTCCAACCGCGCTGCTCGGTTATTGTGGTGCAAAGCACATCGAAATTGGACCTTAGATTGGTGGAAACGGGTTCTTTGTAGTGACTAATCAAGGTTCACCCTTTATCGTTCGGATGGCAGGGTGTGGGTCTGGCGTCTACCTGGAGAACGTCTCCTGCCAGAATGCTTTGTGCCAACAGTCAAGTTCGGAGCAAGTGGAATTATGGTCTGGGGGTGTTTCTCCTGGTATGGGCTGGGACCCTTGGTCCCCATTCATGGTAAGCTCAACTCCGATGCCTGCTTCACTATTTTGGATGACAATGTGTTTCCTACGTTGTGGCAGTTTTACGGGTTGTACCCCTGTTACTTTCAGGACGACAATGCCAGTTGTCATGCTTCGACGTTAACCAAGGCTTGGTATGGTGCCAATGGAGTTCATCGAATGGACTGGCCTCTCCAGAGTCTAGACCTGAACCCTATCGAGAACTTCTGGGACGAGTTGCGTCGCCGAATTCAGGGGTGCACTACCCGTGCAAAATCGGTGAAGGAACTTTTTTGTCTTCTCCAAGCCGAGTGGAAGAAAATACCACTAGCTGTCATACAAAGACTTGTGGAACGTATGCCGCGGAGGATCCACGCTGTAATTACCTCTCGTAAGAGGCTCTACCAACTATTGATTTTGAATAAAGTTAGTTTTTCTTTTCTATCACAGGTGTCCAAATACTTTTTTTTATTGGTAGTCAGTGTATATGACGGCTTAGTTTATTACGTCCCGTTTCAGACTTTTTTTTTAATTGTGCCATTTTAGTCTCTTTTGATAGGGTGGATAAAAACGATTCCAATTTCAGCCTTTTCATTCAGGGTTAACGCAAAATCTAAAACATTTGATAGGAGGTCACGTGACGTGACTGTGATTCATTTACAAATGTATGGCATAAGACTTTTCGCCGTTACAGAAAGCAAGATTTTTATTTTATTTATTTTTATTTTATTTTATTTTATTACTATAAATTTGAGTATATTATGGTAGTACTATTTTCTTGAAACAGAATTCTAAATCTTGATAATTGATATATCAAAAGTAAACCATTGATACAAAACAAACTTTAATAAAATAGATATATTATTTTGTAGACTTTTAAACATGTGACTCATTATAGAAAAGAATGTTAAACCAAATATAGGGAGTTAATTTTTTGTGATTATCTGCTTAACAAAGTATTTACTTAGTGTATGATATTCAAACAAAGTATATCTTCCTTTCTAGTTGAAATAAATGCTTTTTACGCGCCTTAATTTCCCCACCAACTAAAATGAAAAGTTAGAAATAGAAGCTGAAATGGACCATTTTTTATGTCCACATCCAGAACACCTGCAGAAGGGGGAAACTCTTGAAATGCTACAATATTTATGTCTACTTTCAAAAAGCCTGAATCAGGAAAGCCCGAGTTGCAATTTCACGGTTTTTGTCAGAGGTACGAGAGAAAATAATCAATAATGCCGGAAAATAAAAAGTATTCTAAAAAAATTCTGATAAAGAGCAAAATATTCAGAAAATTTAAATTTCTTATTTAATAAGGGAAAAGTTATTTCTATTTCCGATTTGATTACATTAATTTGTTACTGAAAGAAATGTGTTCAAAAACAAATAATAATTTGCATCTAGCTCATTCCACATCTGCCATACTATTCGATTCCTTTGGCATCATTTAGGGATACTTTTTATCCGGACTTGACCTTCATCTTACGACATGAAGTTACTGTTATGAACTGTAAACGGTTTGTCCAGGAATTCTTTTCCGTAGTCTGAAGCCATGTAAGACGCTATGCATCATATGTAGCCGCTCTTTTACCTGCACTATCATATACCGCTGACTGTTATTTTCTGTATTAAATGAACCAGTAAATTAAGTTATGAAGCTCTCTTTCCTTAAAATGACCAACATTTAATAAAAGTGTTGGTCATTTTGCAACCACAAAAAAGAGCATTCTCTTAACTGAAAATTTATTTTACAGAGCAGATTTTGTGCTCTGCAAAATCTGAAAAATTTTTCAGATCTTTAAGTTTTGAAATGATTGGACTTCGATATACGATTTTATAGGAAGCTTAAAAGCTTTAATCCAAATATGGTTTTACTATAAAATCTTAAAATGCGAAAACAGAAGTGGCTCAAAGTTGAGGAAAAGGGAAAATATATGTTATAAAATATAAAAGTATTCACGTAATCAGGGTCAGTACGACTTTGAAATTAGAACCCCATTTTTTTAGTATCAACAAGATTTGCCAGTAATTAAATTTACAAAATAGTAGAAAGAGAGTATAAATAATAATTAAAAGGGAAAAGAAACGAGATCTTTGTACACATTTACATTAAATGTCTTGTCGTAGTCATCCAATTACCTCCGATTAAGTTTTAAGTAATAATTTTTATATCTCTTTAGATGAGAAATTTTAAAAAAAGTAATTAATACCAACTTTCTTTAAAGATATAGAAATTATGAATAGAGATGCTTTCATAATTTCTAAGAGAATATTGACTAAGTTAGTAATTACTTCTTTTTTTTTACTATTATTTCATTTTCTTTTCCATAGGTATCAACAACGGGCCTGTCATCGCCGGAGTCGTGGGAGCCCAGAAACCGCAGTACGACATCTGGGGCAACACTGTGAATGTAGCCAGCAGAATGGACAGTTGCGGAGTCATGGGTAAAATTCAGGTAAGTGCAGAGTTTAAATTTGTGGCATTACAATGGTATTCTGCATCTAAAGCGTGGAATCAGTAAATGCGTCCAAAAATTAAATTAATGATAATTGAGGTAAAATAATGTATCCTATTCTTATTTCCTTTAGACTTTTGTTGAAGATTTTTTTAAAAGAAACTAGCTAGTATTTATGTTCTACACCAGAGATTCCCAACTCTTTTCCCCCGAGCACCTTTTTACCACTACTAGAAGTTCATTCCGTCTCTTCTCAAAACTTGAAAACTATACATGTATTTACTCAGATTTAGATATTTAAACAACAAAAAATGGAGAAAATGCTGTAAATACTAAATAAATAAATAAAAGACTGATTGCATACTCTCTCCATGAAACTATAAAATTCCTCCCAGAGGTGGAATTCTACCTCCCGTTAGGTCAAGTATAAGTTCAAGAGCCACATAGTGGTTTACCTTAGTAAGTATGTAAAGGTCCTTTACACTAGCTGTTCAGAATAACAACGCTTTCCTAGACTCATGGTCCCATTCTGGCACCAAGGTGCTACTGTTGTTTGATTCAACCAACATCGCAAGCTCTGGCACCGCTGACGATGTCACATGTTGTCCCATCTCATCTCTGGACTTGGGCTGGTGGTTATCTAATTGCACACGCTATGATTGCATATTCATCGCATTTGGCCATTCGATGCTTAGAAATACAATTCATATACTTAGCTCCTCTTTTATACCTATTCACCTGCAGATGCCATTGGGATTGAATTTATGCCAAAGTTGAGCTTTTCATCAGCTAATTATGTATTTTAACCGATGGAGTTATTAATTCGAGTTTTCTGGTTTATTCAGATATGTTGTGTTACACACCTCACCTTGCTGAGATGATATAGAGCATTTGTGATTTACGCACATTGTTTCGTTGACTTTCTGTTGTACTTAGGTGCTTCATACCATTTGAATGAAGATTGGGCATGATCTGAAGTGCTTTGATAATTTATTGTGAACTTTTTCAGTTAAACTTTCAAACAATAATCATTAGGAGCTTGCCTTTCCATATTGATTTAGGGGGGACCCCCTCTGTGTTAAACAATTCTAGGCCCCTTGATTCCAGAATATCCATTATTTGGGCTATGCGCTTCCTTATCGAGCTGTTATTGATTGCGCATCTGAGGTAATGGTTCTGGCTCTAGTCTTGGTCTGCTCAGCTGCATGGGAATAGATAATGTTTTGGGTCGCCTGTCTGCCCACATACGCATAGATCTGAAACTTCGACATTCCTCTTGTAGAAATACGTGGGCAAAAGGCCGTGGCCGAAGATCAGCCATGTTATTTGTTTGCTTATGACGTTTGGAGTGGAATTTATTCTTGGATGCAAGTCGTATGTGCGTCTACCCTTCCTGCGGAATCTCACCAGTGCTGCCATGCTTTATTAAACGTAATTTTCAATTGCATCTTAAGGTGGCAGCCTGACCATGAAATGGTTGATTTTTTTTCATTAATGCCTCTAGCTGATTCTATTGCTTGGTCAACCACTTCCTCATTGCAGTTGTTGCTGACATAGGCTTTTATCATGAATCGACATGAGCTTGATATTATGAAATGCTGGTTGTTTGTATTAGAGGTAGTGTTGCGAATTTCTTTGATTATCGGGGATCTATTTGTTGGAGAGATTATTGTGTGCATGGCAGAGAAGCTATCTAGAAATACTATATGAAAGGTTTTAAAGGAGTGGTCTATACTGTATTTAATGGCTTCTAATACCGCACTTGCTTCCGCAATTTCTATTACCGCAATTGTTTGGAATATACTATTTTCTATATTTTGCTCTTTTGGGGGACTGTCTTTCGAGGTATACTTTTAGCGCACATCCCTTTGCATTCTCCAGGCTGGAGTCATCTGTTCAGATTTTGTGGGAATTTTGTAATTGAACAGCTCTTTGTTAATACAAACAGTTATATTGTTCTTCAGCATAAGATATCGTTCATACGTTTAGTATTCTCTTTTGAATTTTCCATTATAGGTACCATTCTGTCTTAAGTGCAGTTCATCTGCTTTTATATATTATTTTTCTGCTACAATGAAGAGAGGGGAATCTGGTATAATGCATCATTCGATTTCACTCCTTATCATGTGGTGTAATTAAGATAAGGTCTCTGAACTGATTGCACCTTTTTCATTTTACGGGCAGACATTGGATTTGCCCAGATCACTGTTCCATACAGAGCTAACTTTTTATGACTGAGGTACAAAATGAGCTTCTGAATTTTCGTTTCTTTGCCCCATCCAATTCCTTTTATTCTCCGCATTATTTGCTGTTATTTAGAGATTTTGTTTTTAATATGATTGAGATGGTCCATAAAATTCCATTATGACAAAGTGGTGTTTGGACTTTGAGCTGCCGGCCGCTCTATGACATCACTAATCGCAGACTAATGCGATACCAATACCATGTTAAGATCCAGCGAGTTAGGTGCCCAGGATATTAAGTGGAGTTCCTCCTTATGCTCCTCGGACTACTCCAACACAATTCGAGCCCTGTGACCTGGGATGTTGTCCTTTAAAAGATTCCATTTCCATTTGGGAAGATGAATGCCATGTAAGAGTGCATCTGATCCCCAGTTATGTTCGGATAGTCTGCAACTTTCACGGTCTATTAAGGGTCCCAGAGCCGCCCATCAGAACATCTTGAGAATAATACTGCCACCACCAGCCTTTGTATGACCTGCTGTACAAAGGGGAGCAACTGTTCGCCTGGAATGGGTGTAAACTGCTACGACCATCGGCGTGATGAATGAGAAATTCTAATTCATCAGATAAGGTAACTGTCTTCCACTTATCCATGGCCCAAGCCCGCTGCAAGCATAATTGACAATGACGCTTAGTGAACAGAGGCAAATAAGAGTGCGACGTCTGCTGCGCAGACCCATATCCGACAGTGTCCATTGAACTGGCTGTTCCGAAACATTTGCATTTAGACTTGCGTTGTATTAGGCTGTCAATTGAGCCACTGTCTGACGCCGATTTTGCTGTACTAAGGGTGACAGTCTCCGACGTCCTTTATCTTTGATGATGCGTGGACGTCCAACCCCTTGGCGCCTACTGCTGTTTTTGCCGTCATTTATCCACGTTTCTTAAATGCTAACAACGGCAGATTGTGAACAACCTATCAGTCCTGCAGTTTCGGAGATACTCGTTGTTTTGAATCTTCGAATCATTACAGTCTGCACTCTATCAAATTCGCTTAGACCAGTAGCCTTTACCATCACTCGCGAAAGTAAGTGCAAAAATGATTCCTTACCTACATCAGCAGTTAAATAATCACGTTCCTCCCCACGTCATTCAGGCGAGTTCATTGAAAAAGGGGCGGATTTCATAATGTTTTGGCTCGTCAATGTATTCTTAGATGAATGAATAGTTAGTCACCTGTGTTCCTTCAAAGCTGCGACCGTAGTTTTTTTCCATTGCTTCCATAAGTGCGTATTATAAAATTTATTTGAAGGAGCACATTTTCATGATTTGGGTATAAAAACCGTTGAAGCTCGGAAGACAACAAAAAGAATGCGTATGAAATGGCTAAAGTGCTTGACTAAACAGCTGTTAGATCAGCAAGGTTGCCTGAAGAATGGTAATGCAAATAGTTGCCAGAGAATGGCATATTCTAAAAATTTAGCGACTTCTTCTAAGACATTTTCATTTAAAGTACTTAATTTCATATCATTTGACTTTTTTCCTTTTTCTTTTAAATGCAGGTCACTGAAGACACTGCCAAGACACTGATGGAGCATAACTACGATTGCGAATGCCGAGGAACAATCTATGTGAAGGGCAAAGGCAATCTAACGACCTACTTCGTAAGAACTCAATTCGATAGAAGTGGAGTAACGGACTGAAACCTGAAGATACAGAGAGAGAATGTGGTGATCTACAGAAGCGATATCAGAAGATGCAGTTAGTTGTGAGAGTCTGGTAATCCAACTAGGTTTAGCAACTCGTTCAACCGAGTTGCTTGCACTCGTAGCCTATGAAAGCTGTCATTGCATCTGCTATGTTTTGCAAAGATATAGATGCAAAGTTGTGACACAGTGTCTATCCAGACTTTGCTTGATATGTTTATATTTAAATAGTTGCTCCATTTTTAGGTATATTGAAAAATATTTAAATAATTTTTGTATTAGCGTGAAAATTTGTTTACTAACCCTTGTTCCCATCTTTAATAACATTTATTTATGAAATCGTTGATTTGAAAATTTCTCCCATTAAATCTTGTACAAGGTAGAAAACTTGCAGAAGATGCACACTGGCAACTAAAAGTTGTTTAAGTGGAACTGCAGCAGGTTTATGGAGGAAGCTGTTTTCTTCTTGCTGTTCGTTTTTCTTTCTTTAGCTACATTAAGCCCCACTTAATGTGATCACTTTTGTCCATCGTTATTTCGATGAAATTAACGGAATCATAACATAAAGATGACCAATAAATAGCTTTCAAAATAAAACCGTAATGTACCTAATTTAATATATAACTATAAACATAATATTAATAGGTACTTTCACTACATTTTAATCAAAAAAATGCAAAAGGTTTTTTTTTAAATATATGTATATATATATAAACTTTTCATAATCTCTGCAAAAGTACTTTTGTAACCTGTTTATAATATTTTTGAAGAATTATCTGGCCAAAATTTTCCAAATGTTTTGAAATAAAATATTTTGATTTTTTTAAATTTTTATTCTAAATATTATTTGAAACAGTTTATAATATCACTGTAAATTATTTTAAATTATTATCGGAATTATTTAAAATTATTTGGATGCTGTACCTCTAATTTTAATACTCGGATAGAAGAACATGGTATTGCGAAATTTAAAATTTGTAATATTTTCCCTCTTTAAGGAGAGAGAACTGTGTTTGATCACCCTCAAATTAAATAAAGTTATACAAAATCCAACGAAACTAATTTTTTTTCCGTAATTTTAAATGTTTGACTAAAATCGAAAGTAAACTGTTTGGCGGCATAATGTAAGTAAACTGCTTGGCGACATTTTTCTATGAAGTTTTATTATCTATTTTGACCTTTTTTTGGCGACTTTATTTCAGTTAAATTATTCCATAATACTTTGATCATTTTAACTCGTCATAGATATTTTCACGGATTTTTTTTTCCCCCAGTAAGGGAATCAAAAAACTTTTTCAGGAATTTGCTTACTGCTGTGGAAAAAGAAACCTTGTCCGATCGCTCTCAAAATCGGTAGTTCATTCAGAATCGTCGGCAAATTAAGTTTGCTTAATTATATATGTTTGATTAAAATGGAAACCAACATGTCGTCAACATAATTCATCGGACACCTTTTTCTGTCACTTAGCAATTTTTGTAATCTATTTGGACCTTGTTTGGCGAATTTTCTTTAGTTTAAAAAAGTATTCTATAATCTTTTAATCATTTATTGATTATATAATCATTTCATATCATAATCATTTATTTCATCATGAATTTATGATCCCAATAAGTTATGTGTTTTCCCTTTTTCATTTACAGGCGGTCAGGACTTCGACGATTCAGTAATAATATCCGAATAATAATATTAACCGTGATCACATTAAGCGACCTCTACTGCGTTTGTAATCGAACATTTTTATGCGTTCTTGAAAGAGGAACGAAGTTAGTAAATGATACAGAGACTTAAGCAATGTTTTGTTTTCAAGTGGTGGTATCTCTGTTTAAAAAAAAAAAAAAAGTCTTTGCTTTGGTACTTTAGTGTTAATGCTAAAATTTCAACAAAGGTTTCAAAATAGTTAGTATGAATGCGTGTTTTTCACACCCTTGCTTTCTTTATCATATTATCATGTTCACCTCCCATGCGGTGAGTGTAATTATTTGCATCAACCACTTAGGTTTATGTTAAAAATCAATGCAGTTAATAGCTGAATATTTCTTTCACCTTTCTATAAAACTGAACTATTTCAGATAACAAAAGGTTTTAAGAATTGCAAAAACATTATTGTATACATGCAATGTTTCATTTCACTCATAAGTAATTGAAAGTTTATATTGATTTTGAAATCTACAATTCATGAAAAAAGTCATAATCATTTAAAAAGTTCAATTTTGCTTCAAAGGTATATTTCCAGAAGATACTTTGATACTTACGTATTAACGCAACCATTCTGGGGTAATTTGGCAATTTCTTTACAGATGAAAAAAAATTATGAAATCATTTCAATTTCAAAAATTTTCTAATTACACAAAAATATTATTACATTATATATATATGTTTTACTTGGGTATTTATCCTGAAAATCTAGAAGATTGATTAATTAAATTAATTAATCTACTTATAAGCTGGTTTTGAATTTTTTTGGTCTAGTGGAAATGTAGTGGGAATTGCTTTAATAACGGATTCAAAACAATTGCTTCTTTAACGATTTTGTGGAAAAATACACTATTCCTGCAGAAATTTTACCGCAGTTTCTTCCATTGCTGTCAAATTCCTCAAACACATCTTTTAAAATTGAGATGAAGACAAAAAAATATCACGATTTTTTTAATAAAACGGTTGAACTTAGAATATAACAAAGAGGAGCGGATATGAAAATGGCGCTGTCTCCTGACTGAAAAGCTATTGTGAGCATGATTGCTTGAAGAATTGTCATGCGCTTTGTTGTTGCCACAATTTGTCTGGTTCTGAACATTTGGCGGTTTCAACTGAAGTGGTTACGCTAATACTTAAATACACTCACTTCCAAAAGTTAAGCATGAAGATGTAAAATGCTAAAAAAGCAACAAATACTACTTTGATTGACACAAAATTCGGCAGGAAAATAATAAAATACCAATTTATTCTGTTAATGAAGAGAGTTTCAAGACATTTTCCCAAAGTAGACAAAAGACTAATGCATCTAATATTATCAAGATAAGGGGTTCTTGTATCTAACATTTTAGGAATCAAAACAACCCGAGCTCTCTTCCATTGTGCTGGAAAAACTGCTAATTGTAAACAAAGGTTGAAAAGTCTGTGTAGAAATGTGCTATCCACCGCATGAAAGTGCTGTACCATTTCATTAGGAAGTCAAGCCCAGGTGATTTCTTCTTCTTGAGATTTTTAATAACACTGTTAACTTCTGAAGTAGAGAACGGACAGTCCATAAAAGAAATATAAGGTCCATCAGACTCAGTGCGCATTGTTCTATGAGAATTTCTATCATCACGCGCATTGTCTCTTGGGAAATTCTTTGTCATTATAGTAACAATTGTATCACTCTAACTCGAAGTAACACTGCCATCCGGGAGTTTAATTCTCGAAATCTCAATCCTTTTCGCAAAATTGGTCTTAACCCCATACTTATATATAGATTTCCAGACATTGTGAACAGTAATAGTTGAGAGAAAATTTCTCCACGACTCAAGCTTAGCATTAGCTAATTTAGCCTTGTACTTATGCCGCAATACGAAATATTTAATTTTATAAATATTTTTAAGAAGACAGTTTCTTTCTCTCTGGAATCTACGCCTAGCAGCATTAATTAAAAACAACGATAGAAAGTCTGTATACAACATTTCACTCTCCAGGTTGTCATCGACGATGTCAGCTCTATGGGGACGTGCGTTATCGTCCATTAAAACAAAAGCAGGGCCAACTACGGCAACGTAAAATCTCACAATGGGTTCTAGGACTTCATCTCGATACCGGACAGCCGTCAACGAACCCCGTTTAAAGATGTGCAGGTCGGTGCGGTATCCTAATGAAATCCCTGCCCACACCATAATGCTTCCGCCTCGGAATGCGTGATGTTCGATGATGTTTTGGGACAGATTGCGTGTTCGTTGTTCACGCCATATCCTTATACGCTTGTCATCTGGCTCCAGAGCAAATCTTGACTCATCAGTAAACATGGCATTGCCCCAGTTAGACACATTCCAATTGACATGTTCCCGGCACCACTGTAATCGGGCCCCTCTTGATTGGACGGGTAGATGAACACAAACTCGAGGTACCCGGGCGTACAGTCCACTCATATGTAATCTTCGGCGTACAGTAGCTGCAGATATCGCCTTACCAATGGACGCTGTAACCATAGATGTCACATGTGTGGAGGTCGCTCGGCGATTCCGCTTGGCTACAATAGCAATATATCGATCTTCCGCGGGGGTTGTAACCCTTGGGCGACCAGCTACGGGTCTTCGGACAACTGTCTGTGTGCTTTGGAATTGTTTCCATAAACGTGAAATTACAGAATGATGAACGCCGAAGAAAAGAACAACATCTGTGATCGACTGTCCTGCTTCAATGAGCCCCACAGCACGTCAGCGCTCAGAATCTACTTTTCGTCTTCTGGAAGTCATAGAAACACGTATGTCTTGAAAACAAATTGTACGAAAGTTTTAAACATCTTCTATCAGCACTTGCAATCAACTTCTATAGCCCTTCATAAAGCTGGCTTCTTATAAGATTGCCCTTTTTTCATATTTCTTGACATGAAAGCGCGATTGGCTATTATCTAACATACTTCCATCTACCTCTGCAGCGAATTGCATCCTCTTCAATTCTGATTGGCTTCCGTAAATTAGCATTTTCCTCTCCATGCTTAACTTTTGGAAGTGAGTGTATATTAATAAACTCTTTAATGCAACAATAATAAATACATCACAATGATATTAGGCGACTACTTTCTGTGGCTAGGCAAGTGGTACGAAACGTTAAAGCATATCCATTCATTAATAAAATTGTGTTATCTAATATTATGCATACAAGTGTCTAATGTTTCATAATAAATAAATTCAAATATAAGCACAATTGTTGATAATATGATGTTAGACTCTTGATACTTGTATATTACCTGAAAACCAAAATTTAGATAGGTGCTCTTGTTACTTTGATAGAGATATTTGCGGCAAAAGTAATTATTGATCTAATTAACATTAAAAGAGATCTGAATTTTAGTTCTTGTTCTTTTCATCCATCTACACTTTCCAATATTAAACTCCCACATCACATTTTCTTCAGTACTGTGTAATTTCATTTTATTTAACTGGAGCCTTCTAAATTTTTTGGCAGTATTTACTAGTTCTGAACAAGCTGCAAAATACATTGAAGCCTGGATACATGATTATAATACAAATATATTAATTGGCAAGTTTTTGCCATTTTAGACACCTATCGAAGCTTCTGCTTTCAGATAAAACACAAGTACTGATTGATTTTTTTTTATTTTTATTTTTACTCACTTATAATTTGTAGAGTGAGAAAAAAGTTTACGTACAGACAATATCCGATTACCTGAGGTAAACCCAAGAACAATGCCCATGGTTAACTCAAAATTACGATTAATTCGACGACATTTAAAAAATCACAGAGAAGAGGAATAATCCATTATATAATTAACAGTACAATTTATTTACTTGTATTTCAGGCAGTTTAATCCGGAGAATAAGCTCATTTGGTTGAGCAAATTAAATGAATATTCAAAACAAAAAGACTTTAAATAACTCGAGAATAAATATAATTTAAGAAACTAAGTTATGAATGGTATTAAAGATAAATATTAACAAAAGAATATGAGCAATTTCTTTGAATTTAAGCTCAC